CCTTAACTTCACCTACCAACTTACCCTTACCACCTTATCTTTAAATATCAATGCCCACTCAGATACAAAATAGTAGTGATAAAAAAAAACTTCCTAAATAGAGCACACCAGAATTCATCCTCTCAATTACACTTCCTTAAAGAACTCAATAATGTAAAACAGACACTAGTTAACAATGGCTTCCCTAACCACCATATAGACTGTTATGGAGTCCACCCCTTTTTTATATAAGTAGACTCGACCAGAGTGTTACTTGGACTGCCGCCATTAAATACCCAGAGTCAGTCAGAATACAGAGAGATAGAGATAGTAAGAAGACTGAGAATGTGATTGAGTTGGAGGTAGAGTAATAGTGTGAGGTAACCGCTTGTAGAAGTCAGTTACAAGCACGGAGACTCTAAGAAATTCCTACTTCGAGACTGTATATATCTATATGTTATTGCGACTAACCGCGTTCCTGGATTTACTAACAATATTACCCTTTGTATTATTGTGTAAATACATTTAATTTCTTAACTTTAATTCTTGCGTTTGTCATTCATTGGAGACCGAATTTCATCTCGGAATCCACAACATAGACAAACAAATTAGACTATTTCTCCCGAAAGTACATAACAATGATAATGAACACACAATGAAAAAATAACATATTTTCTACAAAAACCAAATGCACATCAACACAAACAAGATGAATTTTCATTTAGAAAGATTATAAAGACATACACTACCCCAATTGACTCAAATAAAAAAATAAGATTAATTATCTGCTACAAAAAATTTAAAACAACTAACTTTATCCTCAAAATAGCAACACACAACAACAACATAAAAATTTAACTGTTTTACCTAGAGGACGGACTGTACAACATTGAAATTCGAATGTGCATTGAGATAACAAAAGATGCCTTCTGTGACGTTTACACACCTGGCCCAGGGTCGAATCCTTTGGTTACGGCGCCAACTGTGACGTCGCTCCTCCTGGTCGCTCCTCCTGGTTCCAAGCGTGCCGCTCCAACCCCTTGGTTGGATGATCACCAGCCTCGCCTTTCCCAACTCGCTTCTAATACCTGGTTACTGAAGCAACTGTACTGATCTCCGGTCTGTCTACTCACGCTGTGTTTAGATCTTAGACAGACGGGACCAGCAGGGATTGGGGCCGATACAAGTTGAGTCCGACGGGGTGGCAAAACACAAGTAAAAAAAAAAAAAAACTCACGAGACAAAAGGATTGTTGATAAAAAAAAAGGTAACAACCTTTTATATCTAAATATGTCCGTTACATAAAAACAAAATTGTTCTCAATTCCCGACCCGCTCTGTGGACTATGGCACCAAGCTTCTATCACACAACCTAAGGATTTCGAATTGCCTACTCTTTAGAATTGTGTATGTCGGAGTGTGGTTTAGTTCGACACTGGGGCTAATTTCTGTCAATCATTCGCAGTTGATTCTTCTCTTCGACTTGAGTTGTATTTCTTCTTCTTCGTCGACTTAGATAGAACTTCTCTTGTCTTCGACTTGGGCTGGATCTTCTCTGCGGCTTTCGAGTAATCTTCTTCTTCGTCTACTTGGGCTGGAAGTTCTCTTGTCTTCGACTTGGGTGGACAGGATTTTCTTGCCGCAACTCAGCCGCTACTCTCTGTCGTCCGAGGTGATCTCTTCTCGCTGCCGTCCGGGGCTGAACTCTGCCGTAACTCTGCCGTAACTCTGCCACAACTCTTGGCGTCCTTCGAGCAATCTCCTTCTTCGTCTGCTTGGGCTGGAAGTTCTCTTGTCTTCGACTTGGGTGGAAGAATTTCTTGTCTTCGACTTGGGTGGAAGGATTTCTTGCCGCAACTCAGCCGCAACTCTCTGTCGTCCGAGGTGATCTCTTCTCGCTGCCGTCCGGGGCTGAACTCTGCCGTAACTCTGCCGTAACTCTGCCACAACTCTTGGCGTCCTTCGAGCAATCTCCTTCTTCGTCTGCTTGGGCTGGAAGTTCTCTTGTCTTCGACTTGGGTGGAAGGATTTCTTGCCGCAACTCAGCCGCTACTCTCTGTCGTCCGAGGTGATCTCTTCTCGCTGCCGTCCGGGGCTGAACTCTGCCGTAACTCTGCCGTAACTCTGCCACAACTCTTGGCGTCCTTCGAGCAATCTCCTTCTTCGTCTGCTTGGGCTGGAAGTTCTCTTGTCTTCGACTTGGGTGGAAGAATTCCTATCTGAGGATTCTCTTGCCCGCAAAGGGGCGAGTGAATCGGGCCTGATGCCCGCGTTCAGGCTCTATCCCTGCCCGCGGTCCAGCTGCAACTCCTTTCTGTCGACTGGGGTCCTGCTTTTATTGACGCCGCAACAAACTGGGGTGGGTTTGTCGGCGTCAGGGGTTTCTCGATAATTCCAATAGCCGCATTATTTCTGTCTTCCCATTATCGCTATTGTTTTCACCCCTACTTCCTCACAGTGCCTTTGGTGGGGAGGCGCACACCCATCTTTCCCGGTCCCTCGTATGTCAGGTGACCGCTCTCGACCAATGATTCCTGATCGAGCATTTCTCCTCCTCTCTCCCGTATGCCACGTGACCGTTTCCGACCAATTGTTATTGATCGAGCATCCTTTCTCCTCTTTTCGGGCGTGGTTTACATCGTTCTTGTTTAAAAAACAAAATCCAATTTTGCCCTTTTGCACGTACGAAAAATGACAATCTTGGCTTTTTCTCACCTGGGCTCTGTCAAAACAGCCTGCCGCTAATTAGATGTGACTTCAGGAAAGAATATTGGCGCCATCTGTGAGCTGAGACAATCGTTTTTTCACCTCTTGTTTTTGTCAGACCCGACAGTCAGAAAATCTTAATTATCTACATTGAAAATGTCCCCACTTTATTATCGTGGGTTTCCAATTCTTAATAGGTCAGAATCTGTATACAGTTCCACCGGTCCTCCCCTCAACCCAAAAGACACTTTTTTCTCCGATTAAAAAATTTCGTTTCTATTGTTCTAAAAAGAAATTCCCCTTTCTCCAATTTGACAATGAGTCTTTCCACGCAAAAGTAGGCTAGGTGCTTTGACCGATATTCTTATCAGTCGCCAATACACTGTCATCAAGCCTGGTTCTTTTCTCCCTCTAAATGATTTTTTCATTTCAAATAACAATTCTCTATTGTCTTTTAAAATTCGGCCAACACGCAGGCCAAGATATCTTTCTGACACCTATCTTCGCTTATGACCGGGTCATGCATCATCCATCTCTCTTTCCTTTTTTTTTCCTTTCTTCCTCTTTTCTTTCCCTTTCCTTCTTCTTTCCTTAGGATCGTCTAAGTACAACTTTAGTGAATTATTTTCAACTCAATTATTTTCCGTTTAAAAAAAAAATCAACAACCTGTTTAATAAACCGAGTAAAAAAAAAAATTAAATCATATTTCTATGAATATTTCTAATAATGCAAGGTGCCACACTTCCAAAGAAAGCAAAGAAAAGAGTACTGAAATGTCACGTAATAACAATCCTCGTATATGGCAGTGAGTGATGGACTATCTCCTCACAGATGCAGAAGAGACTCGAAGCATCAGAAATATGGAAAGGATGCTGAAAATAACATAGGCCGAACATGGGAGCAACAACAACATCTGAAAAAGACAATTGAAATTACTATAATGAGGAAAGAAGACTTGGAAAATTCAATACTCACAGAGCAGATTGAAGGCAAGAAGTACAAAGTTAAACTACACATAACCTACCTAGCGAGCTTATAGATGTTTAGAAGAGATAACAAAAAGACAAAATTTATTAAGAGCTACAGCGGACAGGAGACTGTGGAGGACCATGATTGCTAACTTCCTGAAGGGTCACGACACATAGATGAAGAAGTTGGCTTGCTGATTATTTTATCTAGGTGATGAGTGCATTAAGAGTATAGTTTCTTTCAGTGTGAAATCTGTAATGAAACATTAATTCCTATGAAGCGACCTTTATTGCAAGGAACCATCAAGGCTTCCGTTACTTTTTCCTTCCTTGAAGTGTTTTATTTTTCATGTTTTCGCATACATTCAGGCTCCTACTTATCGCGAAGTAATTTCTCTTGTGTCCGTAATGAGCGACTCAGGGGCAACTATTCAAATAGTTTTGAGAATATCTACGACTATAATTTTAAATTGTATTTTACACGTTGCTGTATGAGGAACTGGGTCAGATTTACTATGAAACTAATGAAAATTAAGCTTCATGGGCCCTAATCCCAAAGAAAGCACCTTGTGTTAATAAGTGAATTTTCCAACAAAATCGATGTTTTTTTAAGTGTTTTTTTATTAAGTCATAAAGTGATTAGAAAAATAAGCCAATGGATTGAAGTAGCTAATGTTGCCCGTAGAATATGTTCCAATGCCTAATTTGTATGGCTTAAAATCCCTTGTATTTAGTCAAATTTTAAAATTTTATTGAAAGCTTGTAGCGTCGAACTCCTAGCTGTATGGACTTTTTGTGCTTGGCAGAATCGACTATATTTTGCAGATTGGATCCTCGAATCTATTTTTGCTGGTTGTGGAGAGGAGCTATATCTGTTCAAATTTCAGGGACCCAAAAATGTAAACTCTCTACTGATAAGGAAAACTCGATGTTACAAGTATTGGTAGGGAATCTTTTAATTTTCTGTTTCCTCCTATGTTCTGCTTTTTTAATAGACATTTTAGGGCATTTTCCTTGGATAATACAATTTACAAACATTAAACGCAATATTTCAATTTATTTCTGTTGTTATTCTTTCTATTATTTTATTCTTCTATTCTTCAATTCTTATATTCTTCTATTCTTATATTCTTATATTCTTATATTCACTTCGTAATTGTTTTTTTTTTTTTTTTTGTTTTCTTCTCTTTCCTTTGCGTTTATTATTACTTGTTTGCTGGCTCTTTTTATTTATTCATATTTTTTTAATACCCAATCAGCATCTACTTTTGTCAAAATCGCTTTTTCTTATATTCGTTGTTATCCCTCATGGCGCTTACTTATAGTTCGTATATATTCTATTTATAGATTCACCCCCCACCACTCTCTCTCTCTCTCTCTCTCTCTCTCTCTCTTTTCTCATATATTCCTTTTAGCGTGTCTTCCTTTAAAGTGTATTACATTCTTCCTTTTATCTTTTCTACGGTCTTCCAAATGCTAGCTCTTTATTCGCATCCCTCAACTGACACACACACGCAAACATGCACAGACGCACTCACACACACACTTTTCTCAACATGCTTCCCCATTTTTTTATTCCACCTTAACCACACATTTCCCGCTTTTTTCGTCTTAATTTTACATCATTTCAATAGAAACCTCCTTTTCCACAGCCCGTCAAACCTCACTTTCCTTCATTGACTCCTCGTTCTTCCACCTTTAGACCCTCGCTGCCTTCTATCGACCAACGCAGCATCAGTAAAGCTTCCAAACCAGAATAGCCAAGACCTGATCGTCCGCTGTATGCATTTCTGAGATCATCTCCGTTCCAGCGCTACCGCCCGCCGATGTCCTCTTGTCTCGTGAATACGTCCTAATCACTGGCAAACGGTGCCGACAACCGCCAGTGGGCCTCCAAAACCGTTCGTTACCGAAGAACAAAGACGAAACTTGCTTTAGCAATCTCAGCGAATCAATAATGTTTACCGATTGCTCGAAAATCCTCTGGAGAAGTTTCACAGCATCTTCCAGCACTCATTGACCTCTTTTCAAATTTGAAAAGTTACCTTTTTTATTTGTTTTTTATTTGTTATTTTTTATTCGTTTTTATTTGAATCTTATTCGTTTTATTTTATTTTACATGAATTTGCAGGTTCAGAAAATAAAGATAAAAAAATATTTTCTCTTTTAATTTTTGTATTTTATTTTGGATCTGAATATGTATATATGATTTAGTTTTCCATTTTTGGTTGTAGAAAAGAGAATATATATATATATATATATATATATATATATATATATATATATGAAATTCAGGGTTCTAAAATCTTAGAAATGATCGCAAAGAACATCAGAAATAAAAACAAGAGCGAAATTAAAATAATGAAGATTTTAATGATTGTATGAAATTAATGATACACAAAGAAAAGGCATTGATGAGAACTTATTACTTCCTTTTCGTTTTTATCTTTATTACTTTTTACTTGTGTTTTCCCGCCAAGCGTATCCTTCTGAGGATCACGTTATAGAAAAATTTTCAAGATCTCTCCTAAGGTTCCCTAGCAAAGTGTTCCTTTACTTCGAAATATTCCAATTGACTTTTTTAGTTTGTTTTTCTTTTTTGTAATAATTTTGAGGATAGTTCCAAGTACTTCAATGATAATGAGTACAAATGTAGCCTTTATATAGCAGAATTATTTTAATGACCTTGAAAGTTTATGAATAGATTTCCAAATAACCATGAACCTTTATACCTTTCAAACTATGGTCGGTTGGCGAGGTAGCATTCACAATATAAAAGATCCTTTTCTATTTCAAAGAATTGTTCGGCCAGCAGGGGTTATTCTTTCTCTTGCATATAGTGGCCATCATCAGAAGTATGGCGTATCTTTTTTTATCCTTTGAAAAAAAAAGGAAAATGCATGAAAGATTTAATTTCTTGTTCCCAATAGTGATGGCAACATTTATCTTCTTTTTTTATCATTTCAATCCAAATAAGATAATAAAGTCACTAAACCACCAAAAGGTTACTGAATGGTAAAAAATATATATCGAAAAAGAAAAAGCATTATTTAGGAACAAGACCAATAAAAGAACAGGAACGTTTTAAATGAAGGTAAAGAATAAGTCATTTACATTTTTGAATATCAAATTTGACTGGAAAGCAAAAAGCTGGAAGAGAGTTTCACAAGTGAAAACTGCAAAAGAAGAAACTATAAACATGAAGCTTACGGTTACATCTCGTCATATCAACTGTAAAAGGATAAAACCTTGCTGCCAATCTAGTACTGAGCTTGAATTCATAATTTCTAGATACCATAGAGAGACGTTCCTCAGAACAATTACCAGAAAATGTTGGTTGGTCAATTTTGTTTCGTGGCATATCAACACCTCTATGTGTTATGTGATGCTAAAATTTAAATAATTTGAGCGCAGTTGTATACCTTCAACTACACATAAAATATATGGTGTTCATTTTGCTATAAATACATATTGCTCGTAATATATATATATATATATATATATATATATATATATATATATATACAAAAAGTAAATTAGAAAGGTTAATGATATAAAATGGCGAAATCACGTCGCTAACAAAATTTTAAAGATGCATTAACCGATGATGAATGTTATGATGCTTGTTTTTTTAAAACTATAAGCTGTATAAGGTCCTTCTTAAATACACGAGTACTTTCGACTGTATATTCAATGATCTTCAGTTATGAGAATTATTTTGTATTTTTACAAATTTACTTTTTGTATGAGTGATCCATTGTAATATAAATTGAACTGCACCACATATTTATTTTAAAAGAACTGATCCGACGTGCAAATTTTCGGGATAACAACTGAGACATTGATCTACTTATTGAACTATTTAGTTCAGGCCACAATGACAGATAAACTCCTACAACAAAAAATTCTCAAATTGCCATACAGATTCTGGCTTCGTTAATGAATTTTATCGGAAGAGGTTGACCTATGTTGAAACAGAAAAAACAAACGATCCATCCCAGAAGTCTTCACCAATTGGCCTTCCGGTTGGCAATTGCCGCTTCACATTTGATCAAAATGTGACAGTGGTTTCATTTATTTCAAAGAAAAACAAATGTGTTCACGCTTCTTTCAACAATGCATAATGGATGCTAATGCTGACGATGCTACTGGGGAAACCTGACATGATAGTGTTATACAATAGTACCAAAGGAAGAATCAATACAGTCAATCAGATTTTACTCAAAACAATTTATTGGTCTCTTGCTGACTTCATGGATGTTCTCATCCTTTCTGATATCAAGGTTTATATGGCATTTATGCATTGCCAAAATTGTAAAAAAAAAAAGGTGTATCACTTGCACGGAGGCTTTTTTCCTTAAAAGATTGCATGTAAGTAAACGCTGACGCACTTGTAAAAGCACGAAATGTAGATGGAGTTCGCTTTGCTATTGAGAACAAGATTTGTGCATATAGAATTGAAATTTCGTACTCAACAATTGAAGATGTTGATATAAAAACAAAGAAATCTGCCCAAAAGAGCTGTTATGGATACACTTTGAATCATGTTGATAGAAAATCCTCGGCTTCATGTTCAGAAATGCAACTGGAGAGTCTGTGCTTGACATTTCACCAAAGAGGAAACATTTGTCTTTAGCCAACCAAAATACTGAAGAAAGTAATAACGAACATTGTGAAGAGTTTTCTCCAATTCTTATTTCATTTCTAATATCCGATGTTTGTGTTCGATATCGATATCGATATCAATATTCATGCTTGAAAGAAACTGTTTGATGCATATCAGATATGTTTTTAATTACTTGAGATCATTCATAATCTTTTTAACTTTCCAATTGCCATGCAAGTTTGAGTGCGCACTGTCCCTTAGAATGTGACAATCACATGAATATTTCTAAAGTTTGTTTATTGATAAAAGTGTGCCCGGGAACATTCGACCCACCTGGGTGGTAAAACAAAACTACTAATCCCAGAAGGTACCGCAATACGCCATTACCCTCAACACATTATTTCCAATAGTAAATTATAAATTTTCTATCGGCTCCCTAAAGATCCGGTCGCTAATGTTCAGCTAAATCCTTGGGCATCATTGTTAAGTAAATAAAAGAACAAAAAATCAAAGAGAAAAAATTAAAAATATTATTTTACTTATCTTGTTTTATATAGATGTTATTATAGGCACAATGTAACAATTAAATACCCTCAGGACATAATTAGATGTCAATGGATAAAACAGTTGCTAAATAATTTATTTGTATTGAATTCAAGAATTATACAAATTCTTCATGTTTACATACATTAAATTTCTTTTGTTTGAATTTATTAAACCAAAGATAAAATTTAAATAACCTTTTTAACAAAAATGAGTACTAATTCTTGCACAAATATTAAACAACGAGAGTGCTGGTAATGATAATGATGTTAATAGTATTTGTTTCCTTATAAGATAATACTTGGCATTCACTGGCATACCAGACAGTGCTACTGTCGGTTCAAATTCATAAAATCGTTCCTTGAAAACAACTTTTTAAGAAAATTGTTTTTTCAAGTCCACTAACGGTCATGGCTCTTTTAATTAGTGATGGGAGCTTCCTTATTAAATTTTTGTGTAAATTAGTGTGGAACAAGAACCTATTGAATATATCATTATTTTCTATTCGGCTTATATGTGCTATGCATTTTAGTTGTTGCTGCTATTGAAAGCGTTCTGTTTATGTGGTTTCTCTTATTTGGTATAGTTTATTTGTTTGTGATTCTGTAGTGCCAGAATTGAAAAAAAGAAGGTCCTCGCTAAAAATCTACAAGCTTCATTTCCTCGAAGCCATTTGTGAGCATCGATCAAAGAACGCGCTTGTATGCACCTGATACTTTAGATATTTCTGAACGGGTTTGGTGCCATACCTGACATCAATATGAAATTCTCGATCTGACGAGAATTTAAGTACATGACTTTGGCTTTGTAGCACATCCTATTATATATTCAATTTCCTTACAATATTCGAAGTTTCATATTTAAAAGAAAAACAAGTCACTAGATTTGAATATTGGCAGCTATTTTCTTAGGTAACCATTTGCCGTCGTGTAAATGCAAGCAGACGTGTACTTACTTCAAAATAATTTATTCAGTTTATAGAAAAATGTGAAAAGCAGCAAAAAAGAAAGAAACTTATATAGAATTCCTATTCCCTTTTAGAGTTTGAATGAAAAACAGAAATTATTCACCCACAAAAAGAAATAAGCGCGCGACATCTAGTCGTGAAAAACTCGTATTATGTTGGCCAAGACAACCAAAATTTCTTTTTTTTTCTAAAAGAACATAACAGGTTTATTTGGTGAATGGTGCTTTGAGTAATCACGTTCATTTCGCCTTTCGCATCGAGAACCGGACCCTTGTAAAAGTCTAACAACTTATTAGTAACAGCTGACTTAACACTTGATATGTGTTGCCAGATAGATAGATAGATAGATATGAGCAGAGTGAGAGCAGATAGATAGATAGATAGATAGATAGATAGATAGATAGATAGATAGATAGATAGATAGATATGCGTGTATTATGTGTTCGTATAAATATGCAAAAAATACGTTAAAAAAACGTGCGTGAGATCTGTGCATCGAAATGCAGTTGGATTTTCGATAAGAATGAATATACTGAGAAGTAAATATGTGTATATAATACGTAATTATGTACATGTTTACATTTACACTTATGCATACAAAAATTTACCTGAAAAAACTGCACACACACAAACAAAATAAGACATGCACGGATAGATAGATAGATAGATAGATAGATAGATAGATAGATAGATAGATAGATATGAACAGAGCGAGGATAGAAAGAAAGAAAGAAAGAAAGAAAGAAAGAAAGAAAGACTGACAGATATGAACAGAGTGAGGATAGATAGATAGATAGATAGATAGATAAATAGATAGATAGATACTATCATTGCGATTGGTTCCTGTACTTGACTGACTAATATTACATGCATTCAAATGCACCTACGAATTTAAATACGCCAT